GCGCACGCGCACATGCGCACGCGCACATGCGCACGCGCACATGCGCACGCGCACATGCGCACGCGCACATGCGCACGCGCACATGCGCACGCGCACATGCGCACGCGCACATGCGCACGCGCACATGCGCACGCGCACATGCGCACGCGCACATGCGCACGCGCACGCGCACATGCGCACACCAAGTGACGGCTAAAGGGTCCCAACAAGATTTCAAATGAGGCGCCCCCGAGCGCCGCTTGCTTCTGCAGGACTAGGAGACATGCAGGAGGGAGGCGGGGTCGGCTGGAGAGTGGAGGGCAGGGGGACTATGGGCGAACATGGGGGGCAGATGGAGGAGGGAGGATGGGAGAAGCAGGATGAAACATGGGAGGCTAAAGGAGGCGATGCATGGACCGGGATGGGGTCTGGAGAAATGACGGACGAGGAAGCGAGAAGCAGTGAGGAGGGAGGATGTGGGGCGGAGTGCGGGGAGGAGGAGGAGGAGGAGGAGGAGGAGGAGGAGGAGGAGGAGGAGGAGGAGGAGGAGGAGGAGGAGGAAGAGGAGGAGGAGGAGGAGGAGGAGGAGGAGGAGGAGGATGAGGAAAAGGACGAGGAGGAGGAGGATGAGGAGGAGGAAGGCAGAGGAGGAGAAGGAGGCAGGCAGGAGGGAAAAGCAGGGAGGGAGGATCGAGAACGGAGGAGAGGGAAAGAAGGGAGGAGGAGAGAGGTGACGGAGACGCCCACGATGGATCATCTGGTGTGGTTGAGGGAATGGCTAACAACCTCCGGGGCGCCGATGCCACAGGATCATTCGACAATTGCCGCAGCTTGCTAAAGCCTAAGCGCAAAACGTCGATGTAATACAGTTGTTCAGGCTTCTATACAGTGTGCATTTGAGCGTCAGCGTCATCGTTGGGATCCACCAGTACGGCTTACATGCTTGCAGGTCACATGGCAAGGCTAGGTGCACGTACACGTCTAGCGTCAACAGATGCAGCCCTCGCAGTTGCAGGTTAAAGTGAGGGGCTGCGGGTTGTGGTCAACGCTGGCCAGGGTATAATCCGCATGCTGTGTGTTTATTGTTTGGCATAGTTCGTGCGAGCAATTTATTGTTTTTTCTCCAGTGTTGTTTGAAGGAAGAGGGATATGTGATGATGAGGGGGGAAGGAGGAGTCACAGTGGGATGGGAGTGGGAGGAGGGGTAGGCGTCTAGTAGTAGGAGGAGGAGGAGCAGAAGGAGAAGGAGAAGGAAGAGGACCGCTGAGGAGAAGGATGGAGTTTCAGGATGACGGAGGGGAGGCGGAGAAGGAGGGAGCGAAGTGAAGGGTGATGGCGAGAGTGGGGAGGGGATGAGGGTGAGGAGGAGGGTTGCCATGCAGAGTTTGGCCAAGGACGACACTTCAGCTGCGTGTTCGGTCTCAGGCCAGTTGGCATGAGAGTGCTTAGTGGACATCGGGGGCCTGGGGAAGTCGACCAGATACAGTGGGGACGCGTGAAACGCGGATGTTTTCCGCCAGGGTGCCTTGGGTTTCTAGGTTCTAGGAGGTTTGCAACGGGAAACCCAGGATCCCCATGACCCGGCTCCACTTTCAGTGTCTCGGTTTCTCGTGAAGGCTTCTTATGGCCGAAATCATGTGGACGATCGGGTTGCAGTTCGTTTCTCGGACTTGTTCCCTCGACAGCGCATCCCTCGCCTTCCGCCGCCCCGCTGTCTCAGCACCACTCTGTTCCACCGCGTACCGCGGCTTGGGCCGTCGCGATGTGTCCAGCACGGCTGCCTTCCGCTGTCGGGTAGGCCGGGGCGGTGCAGTGAGCAGGCAGGGTAAACATTTGGAGGTTTGATGTGCCCTCCTCCTCCTCCTCCGTCACCCTGGGCGTCAAGTGCAGGCTCAGGAGCGTGTCGCGCTGACAGCGGCAGGTTCAAGTGCCCCTCTGCTCATTCGCCCCCCTGTGCTCCTCCGCTTCCTTGCGCACCTTCTTCCGCCACTAATAAGATGCAGGGCAATTCCTTTTCAACGCGGCGCTCTCGCCAAAATGGCAGGCTCAACTGTTATTTTTTTCAAATGTGCGCTGCTTGTTGTGAAAAAAGAGGACTTGTGGGGGCGTGTGGTGAGGGGGCTTGGGACGGGAGGGTGTATTGCAACATCGTTCATGCATCTTCGGTTTACTCTGGTTCTCCTCCCTCTCCTCTTGCCTTTGCTTTTGCATTCCGTCCATACGGATCCGTCGTGTCCTGCTCTGCCACACGGTGCTCGCTCGTACACTGCGCGCGTGGGCGTGGCGACAAACGCTCACCGAGCTGCCGTCAATGCGGCAGTGGAGCAGCGGCGTTAACATGTGCCTCCAGAGGAGAGGAGACGACACCGTCGCGAAGCGTTCGCAGGCAGAACAACGCAGTGGCATTTGACGGGTTACGGCAGGCTTGTGCCGCCTCGACGCGGTGGCGACAGTGGCGCGGGCGCTCAAGGTATGGAGCCCTTTGGGGGTCCGTGCTCTGGGACGTACAGAAGAGAGTTTACGGCGCGGAATCTATGCGAAAGGTGCGGCCGACAGTCTTGGGGATCTCCTCTTCCTCCTCCTCGCGGAGGAGATCTCTCAAGACGACGAGTTCATGCGGTGGCAGAGCCCAGGGCCCACGGCAGCAGCTTGCCGTGGCGGCACTGGTGTCTGACGGCACGCTGGCTGGAAGGGCAGTTGCCGCGGCAGGGCGGATCGCGCGCGCGGGATGCCTGAACGAGTGACGGTCGCAGCTGGACGCAGCCTCAGTTGGCCCTGGAAGCGGCATGGGCGCTGCTTCCGTTTTCAAGAAAGCTGTTTGTGGAACGTGCAAGCGGTAAAAAGCGTTTCCCGGAAACGGAACATCAAATGCCCCTAGGATTGGAACCTTGAGCCGGAAGCGAACAGAGTAACGGCGACGGAGCCGGGGACGAAAACGTCGCGGGAACCGGCAACAGAAGTGGGAGAACGGAGCCAGTACAAGAGACAGCCCTGTCGTTTCCAAGGCCTGCTGAGCACGCAGGGCGCTGGTGGTGATGCAGCTCTGCAGTAGGTGCAACTGGTAGCAAATCATGCGCATTAGCGTGCGCTAGCGTCAGGTGATCGATGAGAGAGCGCCGATTTAGCGTCTAGTAGCGTCGATTTAGCGTCGATAAACGCAGATTGGTGTCGATTCGGGAGATGGATCGTATCCACCAGCAGGCCCCCACAGGCCCAGTCGAAGCCCAGATCCCCGATGATATCGGCCCGTGGCGCATTATATACACGTATGCGTATATATGTATATCGATATCCACGTCAATACAAGTACACAGCGAAGGCCTGACGGCGGATGCCGCCGACCCTGCAGGGGGACGACGACGACGACGATGACGACGATGTCGACGATGACGACGACGACGACGACGGCGGCGACGGCGATAACGACGACGACGACGACGACGGCGACGACGACGACGATGATGGCGACGACGAACACGGCGACGGCGATGACGACGACGACGACGACGCTGACGCTCTGGCGCCGAAAGTTTCCGTCATGGAGGGGTGCTGCCCCTGGGGGGTGGTCACAACGTTGGGGACCCCCCCGTGGACCCCATACACCCCAGCCCCGAACCCACCCCGTCCAAGGGGGGGGCACAACCCCCGGGATCCCCCGTCCATTATTGTTCCCTATAAATAAGCACCCCCTCCTCCAGGCGACTGGCAGCCAACCAGGACCACTGAGGACCCCCCCCCTACCATCCGTGTCAAAAAACAGTATGAAATCCACTGTTGGGCAAAATCTTGGGTCATGATCGGGGGGTCCGCGAGCACTTTGTATTGTTTTTTTGACAGGGGCGGCGGGGGTGCCCGCATATTGCCCGTTGCGCGCAGTGCTAGCATTCCTTCAATCTAACCTGCACTTCGAGACAAAATCTGGATCATGCGCGGGCACCCCGCGATCACTGTTTTTTTTTGTCTGGGACGCCAGGGGTGCTGCCATATTGCCTACTATGTGCAGGCCTACCAGACGCTATGATGGCCACCCCGCCGCGTTTGCGCTCTGGTTTTCGACGCATGTGTACTAGTACTGCCACGTGCGCAGGCGCACCTGGCACACTTTTACGCGTGCCCCGAACGTGGCGCACCTGGCGCGGCTGGAGCATTCGGCAAACATGGCGCACGTGGATCACGTGGCGCATCTGACGCACCAGGCGTGTCCGACATGCTTGGGCCACAGGGGTGCCTGGCGCACCTGGCGCGCGTGGCGTGACTGGCACGCCTGGCGCACCTCGCCCCAGCGTTGCGTTGCGCACATGGGGTGTGTTTAGGTTCCAATTAGCTGTCCGTCCAAAGACTACCGCTGAACACGTTGCGGCTCGGGAGGGCGGGTGGGAGTGAGGGAGACGGCTTGCGGGCGGGGGAGGCGTCTTACCCCTCCCCCCCCCCCCCTACAATTACTCAATATGAATACTACTCTCCTCCTTCCCCTGATGACGGGTTGGGAGTGTTCGCTCCCCCTCCCCCCCCCCGCGTACTGTTTTTTACACAGGATTCCCCGGAGTTGGGTTTTCGCTTGTAATTTTTTTTCAAAATGCTGCTCTCGCTGAGGCGCCGGCCTCATTTTCGGGCCCCGCTCGTTCCGAATCGTGCTCCCGCTGCAGCGCTGGCCTCATTTCCGTGCTTCCGCTCGTTCCGAATCGTGCTCCCGCTGCAGCGCTGGCCTCATTTCCGAGCTTCCGCTCGTTCTGAATCGTTCTCCCGCTGCAGCGCTGGCGTCATTGCCCGTGCCATGCCACGGCATACAATGCAATGCTAGGTTGCGTTGCGCTGCGCGATGCCATGCCTTCAGCTGAAGCTGTGATATGCAGTGCTTAAGTGCCACGTCGTGCTATGCCATGCTACGCTTTGATCTTCAGCGCCATGCTATGCAATGTTATGTTCGGGGCCGCTGTGCGATGCCATGCTTTGCGTTGCAAAGTTTTGTGATGCAATTCTTCACTACGCCACGCCACGCCATGCTGTGACATACTACGCTTTGCGGTGCTCTTCTACGCCATGCCATGCCGTGCTCTACAATGCATCGCGTAACCTTTCGGGATCATTGCCCTGCTCGACATCCGACTGTGCGAGTAGAGAGGGGATCTACGCCATGGTAAGGGATGAGAGGGAGGGGTGGGATGTCAGATATGACGCGAGCGCACCTAGCTTGCCCTCCCCCCCTCTCCCTCCCCTCTCCCTCCCCCATCTCCCCCCGCCCTGGGCGGGGGAGGGATCAAAGGGAAGGGGCTTTCCTTCGACTCGATTGCGACGTTGCTCGATTTCCCTCTGGCTGGAATGCTTGAGGGGGAGCGGCGGCGAAGACGACTGAAACTGAAAAGCCCCGCAGAAACGCTGGCAGGATCGGCGGAGTTGTTGTGTCTATATGCTGAAGTGTGTGTATACATATAACGGCGCACCGGGTCCGGGGGCCCGGGGCCGGGACCCCGACCACAAATGTGGGCCCCGGGGGGCCCGGAGGCTCATCGGACCGCCGGACGCCGTCCAAGATCGTTCGCAGGCGGCTTCGGAACGCGCTCCGATGGCTCCAGATGCCTTCCAAGACGCCTGTCATGACACCAAGAAGGTCCCAGAAGCCTCCAAGACGCTCCGAGAGGCAGCCCAAGAGAGGCCCAAGAAGCAAAAATCGTGCCATTCCGATGGGAAAACGTATATTTTTCGCATGTTCGCCTCTTGGGCTTTCACCGCGTCCAAGACGGCCCAAGAGGCGCCCAAGACCGCCCCAAGACGGCCCAAGAAGCTTCCCAGAGGGCCCCAGGACAGCCCAAGAGGGCCCCAAGACGGCCCAAGAGGCGGCCAAGATGGCCCAAGAGGGCCCCAAGACGGGCCCAAGAGGGGGCCCAGAGGGGGACCACAAACCGCAAGCTCGAGCCTTCCGCCCCAAGAGGCCGCCAGGAGGCCCCAAGGAGGCCCCTCAAGAGGCCCCAGGAGACCCCCAAGAGGCCCAAAGGAGGCCCCGAGCAGCCCCAAATCGGCTCCCAAAATGCTTCGAATCTGCTTCCAGGAGGCCTCCGACAGGTTCAGAGGCTCCCGAGAAGCTACGTCAAACTCCCAGCGGACGGCC